TGGCAGCACCACCCAAAGGGTGGTTATGGAAAGGAACCTAACCTATCATATTACTGTAATCCGCAGACCCCAGTAAACAGAATAAACAACCCCTTGGGTGGTGCTGGTGTGGGTCCGTCCTATCTGTTGGTTTCCGTGATCATCCTGTCACACAGTGTTCTTAAAAGAAACAAACCTGCTCCTGTCTGTTGATCCTTCTCCACCGAGTTCCACCTCCAACACGTTGGAAGTACTAACTGTTGCTTCGTCAGAACCGCTCCAAATGTTTGGGCACCAAAGAAGTGTCCTCATGTGTCACTTTGCAGCGCAAACAAGTGGTGGAAATCCTGTTCTTTTCCAACCACACTCAGTGACTCAGTGGAGCCGAAGAGGTGTGAGCCCACAAGGTCCAACACTGGAGCCCGACCAGTCCACCATGTCGTGCACGACCTCCCAGCTATAGAAGTCACGTATTCTGGTGTCATGGCCGCCATACTCAGCTCTTGATGACCCCGAAGGGATCAGTAGGTCCCTCCATGTGCGTGCCGGTTCGGAACGGTTCGGAACGGAGGAACTTGGGGTGCCCCAGAACAACATCCACTCACTTGAACACTAAAAACCCACCCATTTGTGACTGCTGGTGGCGGAGTTCGCACCATTTCAAGCATGGTTCTTTTGAAAGAACCTGCCGTCGAACACCTAGTGCGATCGTGTCGAAAGCCTGGGCAGGTCGTCTGAAACGCGAGTGTCCAGGGTCCAGGGTGTTTTTTGATGTTAGACTTCCAAGGCAAACATCTGATGGGGGTTTTGCCTTTTAGAACGACACAACATTTGTCAATACTTGTTCAACCAACTGTAACTGTGAGATCCTGAAACCCCAAGAGGCACAATGAGGTCACATGTTGAACCGATGAATGAGCTAGAGAACACACACTTTTGATCCTGGACCTTTTTCGGACGCCTTCGGAGGCACTTCAGTTTCTGTGTTGTACACCTTGCTGATCAGGGGAGGTGTTGAACATTGAGAACCCAGGTACCTGGACCCGACTTCAAGTAGCCTAAAAGATTGGACATGGCCCTATAAAGGCAAGCATTTGCACCAATTTTCTGCACGCTTGAAGCTCCACCACTCTACCTCACTTCGGGCTAAGACCCAACCCCCGTCTTCCAGGCCGATCCCGCCGCTGGGAATTTAGCCAAAGAACACATCACGAAGCCAGTGTCCAAGACACTGAAGCCGTACCTGGTAAGCGGTGGTGGTAGTAGCAGTAGCAGTAGCGGTAGCGGTAGTAGCAGTAGTAGTAGTAGCAGTAGAAGCAGAAGCAGTAGCAGTAGCAGTAGCAGTGGTAGTAGTAGTAGTAGTAGAAGTAGAAGTAGAAGTATAGTAGTAGTAGTAGTAGTAGTAGTAGTAGTAGTAGTAGTAGTAGTA